TTAGCATTCATTATACCAAGGCCCTGCCAGCTGAAGTTCTGTTCTACTCTGTCCATCACCTACAAGCGGGAGATCTTGAATGGAAACTGTAAACTTGAAGAAATGACTATGCTCTACTTGAAGCTGGAGCAGGACTATATAAACTCCTCAGGAGCTAGGACTTCTCACGAGATGAAAAATATTTTATTGAAGATAAATTTTCAGATCATAAATATACTCACAGTAATAGTTTAAGATCAAAATGAGATTAACAAGTTGATAAATACCTCATTCCTTGTCACTATAGTAAGTTAAAGGTGATAACCATAGATTATAAAAAAGTGGGGACTGGGGAAGACTGACAAAAACATCCTTGACAGTGACTCTGGTGACAGCCGAGCACAGCAGCTACAAGCTAGCGAGACAGAGCCACAGCACGGTGTTCTGGATCCAGGGCCTCACTCGAAAGCTGAACCCAGAGGAGATGAACGGGAAGATGTCCAAGGTTGTGATCTCCTCAGTACACAACCCCTCATCTATCTCATCTATGTGGTCCTGATATGAGTCACCCCAGTATCATAAAGAAACTGGACAGCATATAAAGATTTGAGGGGGGGGGCGGTCATATGTGAATGCATGATATGAAGAACTTGGCTATATTTTTTCTTATCTGCAAATGAATTATCCCAGAAAGATGTAAAATTCAAGGCTAGACAGACGACTCAGATATTGAGAACACTTGTTACTCTTCCCGAGGGCCCAGGTTTAGTTCCCAGAACCATTCATAACTCCAGTTTCAAAGGATCTGATGCCCTCTTCTTGACTCCACGGAAACTAAGTATGCATATGGTTAGGGCACATAGATGCATATAAGCAAAACATTAATACATATAAAATAAATCTTTAAAAAACAATTTAAAAAATTTAAAGGTATAAACTGATTGAACAAACAAAAATTCTTTGTTAAGAATGATTTGGGCTGTGAAAACTGAACTAAAATATGAAATGATTTGAAAGTACAAAAAGATATCTTATGGTCATGGAGTGCCCTTACACCTGTATGACTGATCTAATCGTAAATAATGTCATCCACTTCAGCAATTGTTCATTATAAGGGAATTATGTTTGAATTATGTACTGTCTCGGTGGTCATTTCTGTTTACATCTTTACTTTTGTCCAGAATGTACTTGGAATAAAGCCTTTACCACCTATTATCGTACTGTTGTGAAAAAATGGGCTTGGGAAAAACCCCAACAACTTAAGGGTGTTTAAAAAGCTCACAGGAAAAAAAAAAATAAAAAGCTCACAGGGTTCAGTTTGTATTGACAGAGAGGCGAAGGAAGTAGGAACATGAAATATCCAGTCGTACTGCATTCACAAACAGGAAACAGAGCTCCCTTTCTCCACCACCCAGGGTAATAGTACCACCAACACCAAGCAGCCCTTCCTACTCTGCAAGTGCAGTCAAGATAATTTCCCCTAGACATGCTCAGAGGACCACATCCCAGGTGAGTGAAGATTCTGTCAAGTTGACAATTACACTAACCATCACAGGCTAGAATGTAAATAAATAGCTATTTAGTTGTTTGGAGTTTTCTTTTGAGTGCACAACCCTTCCTTATTCTGGTCCTAATTTTAAAGGTGATTTTGAAAGAGATGGGCCTTGGTTGAGAGATGTTCCAGTAAAGTGCTTGTTGTGTAAGCAAGACATCTGAGTTCCTAGTCCCAGCACCCACATAACAAGCCAGGCATGATGGACTCAGGTCTGTCACCCTAGTGCTGGGGGGTTAAGACAGGGGGATCAGGATGCTGTCTAGTCAGTCTAGCAAGAAAAAGAAAAAAAAAGCACAAAAATCAAACAAACAAAAAAACCAAAAATGAAAACAAACCAAGCTCTAGTTTCAGGACAAAAAGCAAAGAAAGACCTTTCAGGTGGAGCAGTAGAGGAAGTCACCATGTGCAGGCCTCTGCCCTTCCCTGGTAAGCATGCTGCACACACACACTAGAGAGCTAAGAATGGAGCTCAGGAGCGTAAGTACAAGCTTATCATTCCTAAACCGGGGGCTCAATCCCCAGGACCACAAAAGGAAGGGAAAGAAAGGAATGATGGCAAGGGAGAAAGAGACAGGGCAGATCAGGTCTATGTGGAAGAAAATGAGAATGTGAGAGGAAGACAGTTTTATCCAACGTCTGAAGATTTTAGTATACACTGGAGAGACAGTAATGTGCAGTCAGCAATTCTTAACTTTCAAAAAAACTTTTATAAGTTTTCTAAAACAAACCCTTCGCTCAGTAATGTCCACAAGCTCGCCTGTATTCTCCACAGACTCCATCAAGTCTATTCCTCAGACTCTTCTAAGGACCCCACAAGTAGTAAGCAATCAACAACCTGTTAGGAGATTTGTCTCCTATTTCAGGCTCACTACCTTCTTACCATAAATCAGTTAATTTGTCTCTCTGGAGGTGATGTACCTGTTTCCTCTCTCATAAATAATGATCCATCCTGTGCACACACATTTTGTTTACATGTTTTATTTACTGATCTGGTGATCAACATTTACGTTACTTCTACCTTTTACTTCTTTTGGGCCTTTTTAAAACTGGCAAAAAAAAATCCAATCTACATATTTATGGAGCACAATGTGACTATTCTGATAGATGTATACAGTATAAGAACTATTTAAATCAACCCACTTAACATATCCATCACCTTATCTACTACTTTTTTATGATGAGAATATTTAATTCTTTTTTAGAAACCTCAAAATAATGTTATTATCCTGATATATACTTCATTAACCCAGCTGAATCATTTTCATTTCTGAATCAGGGTCTCTCTACATAGCCCTGCCTGTCCTAGGTTGGCCTCAAACTCTGCCTCCCAGGTGCTGGGATTAAAGGTGTGTGCTACCATACCTAGCTCAGAGCTGAATCTTAAGGATACTAAGAGGTGTCAAGCCAGCAGCAAAAGCACACTCTATGTTCTGCTCATGTGAGGTACCTAGAATGAAGATTCTTGGAGAAAGGAAGTAGAACAGACATCACCAGGGGAAGGGGGAAAGTGAATGCAGAGTTAGGGCTACCTGTGTACAGGGTTTCTGTGTGAGTTCATGGGAGGTTCTAGAAATGGATAGTGGCGACAGTTACACAACGAGTTATATAATTAAACTAACCAAAAGAGTGTATTTTAGAGTGTGTGTGTCCCCACCACAGAGAGAGAGAGAGAGAGAGAGAGAGAGAGAGAGAGAGAGAGAGAGAGAACGATCTCTCCTGACCCACCATCATGGCTGAATTCTAGCAAAGCCCACTGGCATTCAACTAACAGAACTAGGAGAACCACATCTACTTTTTTAATTGCCAGCCATGACTCAGCACTTTTCCTTGGCTTCAAACAGTAACTACCTGGAGAAATTCATGCTAAATGAGATGAACCTGAAGTAAGGTGGTCACACTCTTATTAAAGTCCTCTGCTTCCACTTCTCAGGTTGCTGTTCCCTCACCACTGTCCCTTTAAAAGGAAGCACTAGTGACTTTTACTTTTCTGTAAATAACAGAGGCTGTATTTTGAAGTAAGCAAAAGTCTCCGAGAATAAATTTATTCCAACATTCATAAAGTCATGCTGCAATAACTGTCTTGTGACACCCTAGTCCACACATACAATGAAGATGTTGCAATCACTTTATTTCCCCATTTGGATGGCAGTCCATGATAAACTCAGCTTCCCAGCAAAAACTCAGCTGTAATATCAGATCTGGAGGAACTGCATTAAAAAACCCTAACAGCTATTCCTAGTTAATTGTTTCAATTGTTAAAGCCATCCTCCCCACCTGAAACCAGGAGGCAAACAACAGAAGGAAACTGATCACTGGCCAGACGGCAAGGATGAAGGCACGGAACAGACCATGTTCTGGAATACGGTCGGTCATAGGAGAGCTCGGGTATCGGAAGCTCATCCAAGGCGAAGGACGCCCCGGGTGCCCCTCCTTCCACTACTGCATCACAGCACCCACTGCAAAGCTGTCTGATCTGAAAAGACCTTTCTGCCTGGCTTGACTGGGAAAGTTATAAGCTTGGCAAATGAAGGGGCAGGGGAAGGAAAGAGAAAACAACTCTGCTTATGTAACTGTGAGCTGTTTAAATCTGATGCCCTCCTCCTGGTCCGTCCAGACTAGTCACCTTGTACACAGGCAACTAATAATGACATGAAATGCAACTAAATTAAATCCAACTCAAGCAAAGTAAAGTATCTGGGAATCTGGAAACACTGCCTCAGCTTACAGGGATTCCTCATACTAAAGAACAGGGAACCAATACAGTTTGGGTCACATAATATGACAGAAAAATGATGATCATAAAACTAGTAAAAACATATTAGGCAAGAAAATATTACAATGAAAAAGCACTGGCTACTCTATTTATTCTTTTATTTAAAAAGGAAAAAAAAATCCTTCAATGTTTTGACTACTAGTCTTCCTCCAAAGGAGTCTTTAAAGAAACAAAGACTGAACTCAAAGACAAACAGGATTTCCTACTGCACATTTCCACAGCACTGCAACTGCTTTTAACTGCGACTCATAGGAAACCACTGCTCTTAACGTTATCCACAGAAATTATATTCAAACCAAAATTCAACTCTTTACCGTATTGTATACACAATTTTAACATCTAACTATCAATTTCTAATAGTTACTCAGGTCTTAAAGATACACTAGGAAAGAAGTGTGACACAGCAACACCATTTCTTCCTCTGTTATCATCTAAACTATCCACTAGTAACGTTGCACTGTCCCCACAGACAAGATTTCATTCTGAGTTTTCAATAAAAACAGTAAGAAGCAGTGAAAACAGACAAGAGAAAGAAAAATGATAACGTGACTCACACTGGCCTCCCAACAATGAAGCAGTTAGCAGGAGCAAGCTTGCAGACCTCCGTGGCAGGCGAGGTGCAGAGCCAGTGGGCTGTACTGCTATGAAATATGGGTGGGGCTAGACAAGAGGGAAACGGGAATGAATGCTTACTCAGTCAGAAGCTGGTGGAGCTTGTGATAACCTCGCTCCAATGCCAGGCTTACAGGCGTTGCCCCTTCCTTGTTGTGGATGCTGAGAGCTCCACGGCCACCTGGCTTCTGTAACAGGAACCATGTCAACCGCAACAGTCCCAGCCGCACAGCAAAATGCATCAATGTTTCCCGGGGGCCACCATCTGTAAACGGAGAACATAAAAATAAGAATATATAACAGTATCCACCAACAAAGATCAAAAAAACCACCACAACAAAAAAGACACGTTTAGGTAGATACTGTTGCTTCCAAGTATCTAGGATCTTGAAGGTAAACATAACACATGGCAAACAACTTTATTCCAGGTACAATCCCCCTTCAAGTAAAGACAATAAAGATAGAAAAAAACGATGACACAAAATCTTCAACCCACAAAGAGAACCAAGTCATTTCTGTACCTTCTCAGAGAAGTTGATAAAGATGACCGACTACATTATGGCCTTTCCAGTAAAACAACAACAATAACCAAAGTAAATGCAGCGCTTTCTATACGATGGGCTCTGAGACGAACAGCTGTCAAAACTTAGGGGAGTATATCCTGAAGGGTATAATTACTTTTTAAAGAACACTCAGACAGGAGCTGGCTAGTTAAACACTAAAAACAGGTTAGACTTGTTAAGTACACACAGGTCTTAAGTCCCTCATACTAAGGGCATATCAAATTGCCGGCACTACTAGCTTTGTGTTTGCTTAATGAGAAAATGAAATGAATCTTCAGGTACAATGAGTCGAATTATAAGACTACACTAAGAACTTCACCATGTGCCTGGGTTTACTTCACTGGAAATGTAGGATCCTTTTTTGGCATGTTGGGTCCCTAAGAAAGTGGGTAGGATGAGAAGGGGCTTCAGATCAGGCAAAAGTGGGCTCAGGTCTAGCCTTAAGCATCAGTGTGAGTAGGCATGATTCACTTGCCTCTCTGAGCTTCACTTTCAGATCCCTGGAGCAAGACACCATCACTTCTCAGTGCTGTTGTAACAGAGAGGGGTAGATGAAACGCTAGATTAACGACTACCTGCAGGGTTCTCATTAATACCAGTTCTCCCCCTCCTCCTTGCTTCTGGCCCTGTTCTCGAGCTTCAGATTACATGTTAACTTCACTAGAACACTTCCTAGCTCATCATCTTGTGCTGGGCTGAGAAGACGGCGCTAGGACCAAGGTGTGGCCCTACACGTGACAGTCTCAGCTCCAACAGTTGTGCTTTCCTTCCTCCTCTCAGCTTGGTTTTCATCTCTTCTTCCTCGTGGTTTCTGGGTCTCAACTTCTTTCTTAGCACTCGTAGATTTCTTGGATGGAACCCCGCGTCTTCCTTTTCTCTGAAATCTTCAGATGATTCTACAGGTGAGGACCACAGCAGGAGTGAGGACATCCTTGAAGATGTGACTTGACAGTGAATTGCAGTGTTTCTCATAAACAATTTTTTACAAGATTTTTGTTTCTTTTGGGCTGGGGTTTTTGCATGTGAGCTGAATTCAGGGAGCTGAATCCTCTGGAACTGGAGTTACAGGCAACTGTGCACAACCTGGGAACTGAACTTGGGTCCTCTGCAAACTCAGTATGAGCACTTAGTCACTGGGAGATCTCTCCAGTCCCGACGGCACTGTTTCTTAACATCACTGTGTTACCTATGACTAACACAATTTCATTAAAAGCAAATTGGTCTTTTAAATACTTGGGATGAATTCAGGCCTTGTAATGAGTTCAAGCAGGGACCGAGACTGAAATGTCTCGGGGACTGGGAAAATTGTTCAGGAGTGGAACACTTAGCATACATGGGGCCTGATTTAATACTCATACTCTAAGAATGGAACCCCAATTCCCAAAAAGACCAATGAAAATAATGTCCTTGAATAAATAATTATTTCCAAGCATAAATTTTTAATAGACACACACTCTGAGGAAGTGGCAAGGCCAGGGGAAAAGGCAGAAAGAATTCTCATCTAGGATTAAGCACATCTGACTTGTACTTTATGCTGCCCACAACACTCTGACAACCTTATCAAAATACCAAAGCACTAAGCACTTATGGACCAGGAAATATGTGGGTATTTTTTCAGAGCAGGCTAATTCCAGTCTTATCAGGTAATATCTCCTCAAAATAACTTTCTTTCCAGCACCTTTGCTCTAAGTCACCAGAAAGTAAGGCGCCATAAGGCCAAGCACCTCGCGTCTTAAGTCATCTCCACTACTTAATCCCACCCCTCATTTTCTATTACAATTTCAAATACATATAAGCTAAAAGAATTATACAATTATCAGATATTAAACTACTTAAGTCCTACAATAAACGTTCTCTCATTAATGTATGTGCTTTATCAACTATCTTTCTTTCCACAAAGCTTCTGTGTAGCTTTGGCTGTCCTACAACTCGCTCTGTAGAGCAGGCTGGCCTCGAGTCCACAGAGATTCACCTGCCTCTGCCTCCAGAGTGCTGGGATTAAAGGTGTGCACAACCACCGCCTGACACATCAATCCATCTGTTCACATATTTCAAAGGAAGTTGAAGACATTAGACTAATTTGATGAGTACCACCAACCAGAATACATGGCTATAAGCATAAATGACTAAGATATAGGAAAATACAAGCAATACAGTATAACATTTGGTATCATTATTACTTTATCGTCTCACTATGTAGCTCTGGCTGTCCTAGAACTCGCTTTGTAGACCAGGCTGTCCTTGAACTCAGAGAGATCTACCTGCCTCTGTTTCCCAAGTGCTGGAATTAGAAGCAGGGGGTACTATACCAGCACATTTGATACTTGTGTGAAATCACACTCCCATCAAAATATAGAATATTATGAATATCAAGCAAAGTTCCTTTATGCCGTTTTCTGGTTAAAGCTTGATTACTAGAGCCAATCACTGCTTTGAATTTTTCATCGTTTTTGCCTATTAGAAAGTCACCTAAATGAAATGATAAAGCAAATGTTCTTGTATGAGGCTACTTCCATCCTTCCTGAGACACTCCATACGGCTGCCATGTGGTGTTCGATTTTATTGTTTAGTAGAGTTATCTCACATATGTATCTCAGATTAACTAAATAACCACCTATTCTCTTTCATATTAAACTGGCTCTTCACATAAGCCATATGAATTAGGCTCAAAATAGCGGAGGCAAAGATAAAAGGGAGAAAAAGATTAAACTAGGAATAGCATTTCACCCAGGCTGTTTTGCTGTAATAGCACAAGAGCTCTAACCTTAACCGCGACCTGCCAGACTGCTTCTCTTCCTTTCATCTCATTTAATTGCAGAGGACTGATAATTCACAACTGATTTTCATTTGCTATGGTTCCTCAACCCATCATTCTTGGTCTTCTTCCTCTATACTTCAAGAGTTACTTCCTCTATATTTCAGGGGGTAGGCTGGAGGTGCTTGTGGACATGGTGGTCAAGGAGCTCCCAAGGCCTGTTGGTCTCTGCTGTCAGAAATGTGAGCCATCACACTTGGCTTTCTACTGTGTGCTGGGATCCAAACTCAGATTGCCATGTTTGTGCAGCAAGGTCTTTAGCCCAAGCCCCTTCTTGTTTGGTTGCTAGCTCTCAACTTCTTGTTTAGGTTGCTAGCTAGATTTCCTACAATGTTATTTGGGTCCTTCATCACAACAGAATTCAATTAGAACAAGGGAGTCAGAATGTTCTTGCAATATTTCCAACTATTCCTCTTCACCTTTGCCTTCCTCAATGTTTTTCTTCCAGGCACATTTAGGGCCCAAAAGAGTTATCTCATAGGACCCACGTTGGTTGTGTCCCTTTTCGACCACTGAGCTAATTATTTCTCCTAGAGTTGTGATCAAAGCACCTGACAAAACAATAAGGGAAGTAAGCTTTATTTTGGCTCTTGGATCAGAAATTTTGCCCAGTCACAGCAGGGAAAACATGGCAGTGTGAGAATGTAGCCAAAGCTTGCTCACATGGTGGCACACAGGACAGTGGTTAGACTAGGGCTGGGCAGGAGCAGGCATCACCTCCAAAGACCTGCCCCAGTGACCTCTCCCACCGGCTAGTCCCAACTGAAAGGCTTTAGAACCTTCAAAATAGCATTCAAAAATGTAGAATGGCTCTAGGTTGAAACCGTAACAACTACACTGAAATGCAAAGAAAGGTCTATCAAGGTGTGGCTAAACCACAGAGAAGAGGTGTGGCTAAACCACAGAGACCAGAACAGCACTGCATCTCAACAATTATTGGAGGATTACCCATAAATCTTGCATTCTTTCTTTGTACAGCATTAGAAGTATTCCTGTACCTGAACTAGCCTTGCCCTGTAGTTAGATTGATGACTATCTTAAATATCACCATGGAACCTACATCCAGCAAATGATGGAAAAAGATGTAGAGAACCACAGCAGAGCATTGGGCTGAGCTCCCAAAGTCCAGTCGAAGAGAGGGAGGAGTGAGAATATGAGCAAAGAGATAAAGGCTATGTTGAGGACACCCACTGAAACAGCTTACCTGAGCTAATGGAAGCTTCCAACTCCAGCCTGACAGCGAGGAAACCAGCATAGGACCAAATTAGGCCCTCTGAATGTGGGTGACAGTTGTATGGCTGGGGCAGACTGTGGGGTCACTGGCAATGAGACCAGGATTTATCCCTATTGCTTGTTCTGGCTTTTTTGAACTCATTCCCTCTGAAGGGATACCTTTGCTTGGCTTAGATGTAGCGGGGAGGGCCTTGGTTCTGCCTTAAAGCAATGTGCTAGACTTTGTTGACTCCCCAAGGGAAGCCATACTGTTCTGAGGAGTGTGGGAGGAAGGTGGAGGGAGCAGGAGGAGGAGAGGGAGTGGGAAATAGATTTGGCATGTAAAATGAAAAAAGAGGTTTTTTTTTTTCCAAATAATTTGAAGGCGGAAGAAGAAGAGAAGGAGGAGGAGGAAGAGGAGAAGTCCTCCTCTAAAACAAAATTCAACAGCAAATGGCCCCATTATATAACAAGACATACTATCTACCTGTTTTCATCCCAGGTACAAAGTCTGTTACGTAGCTCTTTCCTTTAAAATGCATTTCAATTAACTATATAAATTGGCTGGTGCAAACAGATTACTCCATTGCATTCATCCTTTAACAGCAAACATAGGCTCTTAACATATTCATCTATCATGATCACAGCCAATGTTCCTAGATTCTAACCTACATCTAAGCAAACTACCTACACTACAGATGTGACTGAGAGTACTCAAAACCAGATTCACGATTCAAGGCATTAACTTACATACTTTTAAAAGTAAATACCTTTATATTTTTTATATTTATATTTCACTCACCCAGTAAAATGGTGCAGTAAAGGCATTTGCCACCAAGCCTGACAATCTGAGTTTTATTACACAAACTCACGTGATAAAGGGAACTGACTCTTGCAGGTTGTCCTGACTACATGTGTGCTGTAGCATGTATGTCCATATGTTCATATCTATCTAAACACATACACAAATGTAAGAATAGGTAAATTAAATATTTTACCTTGCAAAGTATATATTTAACTTGTTCAGTTACTTCTGAATTTCAGTTATTATTTAAATATATGTATGAAATAAAATACATTTTGGGGAGATATACAGTATGCATTAGGGTCTTATAAACTACCACTAAAACAGGCTGTAGAATATCCACAAAATAATTTTCATATCCACAAATAATTCTCCCATGATAAGACTTTGAAGTTAGACCTTTCCCCGTTCCCAGCCAATGGTAACTACTGATTATATATATATATAAGTTTTTCGAGACAGGGTTTCTCTGTAGCTTTGGAGCCTGTCCTGGAACTCGCCCTTGCAGAAAAGGCTGACCTCGAACTCACAGAGATCCACCAGCCTATAGAATCTATTTATATTTTTTTAATGACATCCTTTCAGAATATAGAAACAGAACCATATATTATATATTTGGGAACTGACTGACTTAAGCACAAAAAATTCAAAGTACATTCAAGCTGCTGCACATATCAATACTTTGCTCCTTTTGAATTGCTGAGTGATATTCAACTGTAAGGCTGTATCACAATTGACTAGTATCCCTCAGAGAGGGATGTGAGCTGTTTCCATTTCTGGTGATACATGATCAATGCTACATTTGTATACAGACATTTCATTTTTCTAGAGTAAACACCCCAAAAGTAGGTATCTAGGTGATAGAAGAAATTGCCACACTTCTTCAAAGTGGGCATTTCCACAAGCAAAATGGGACCTATTATTCTGCACCCATGTTTATCTTTTTAACTTTAGATGCCTGTGTCAATCACTCTGGGTTCTATGACAAAATGTGGGGTATTCAAACAACTGATTCCTTTTTCTGTTTGTTTTATTTTGAGATTAGATCTCATATATCCCAAACTGACGATGAACTTGCTATGTAGCAGAGAATGACCTTGAACTCCTATTTCTCCTCTATCTACCTGCTATGGCCTGGAATTACATGTGTGCTTCACCACACCTTGATCCTAGCTCTTCATCCATGTAAGGCAAGCACTCTACCAACTGAGCCACACCTTTGGCTCACGGTTTCAGCCTGTGAACTAGTTCTATTGTTTATGGGCCTACTATGAGGCAGTAAATCATGGCAGAATGGCACAGTGGATCAAAGCTGTTTACCTCATGGTGGCCAGGAAGTAGCAAATGGAAAAGCCATTGACATGATATACTCCTCAAAGCATATCCTCAGTGAATGACTTCCTTCAGCCAGGCCCACCTCTTACTAATTCATTCAGTCAGTAACGCATAAATGGATTAATTTACTAATGGGGCTCTTGTCCCATGATCCAATTATCTATCTCTCAACAACACTAACTGGAACCCAATCCCCAACAATAGTGCCTTTGCCAACACTTTCCAAGTCATAATACTCATTGTAACAAGTATGTAATGATATCATTTTGTGGATCTGCACTTTACTAAAAGTATACATACTTGTCTTTGCTAGTATCACTTTATATTTCAGAAAGTCTAGAAGCAGTAAAAGCATACAATAAATTAAAGCTTGCCAGCTTCCTCTAACAAAAGACAGGGAAGGAAGGGACTGGAGAAATGATTCAGCAGTTAAAAGTACTTGGTGAAACTGACAGAGGACCAGAGTTCAATTCCCAGCATACATGTTGGGCAGCTCACAAAATCTGCTATAACACACACACACACACACACACACACACACACACACACACACACGCACGCACACACGCACGTACGCACGCGCACACAGGGTAGGGGTGTTCAAAAACAAAAAGATATGGAAACTTGAGGCTCAGAGCTCTGACCTTTGCTTGTCTCACAGATCTGTTTAATCACCAGAACATGATCAAACTTAGTCCTGGGTCCTCTTTAAATAAGATAGGATAAAAGTATTATAAATAATTGTTCCCACATCAATACAGAAATGGCAGGAGCTACTAGGAAGAATCAGGATTCATCTATAGGTATTCTGAATAGGTAATCAGGTGGTAAATGTCACATATTTGGACCTTAATATCTTAGCAGGATCCAGAAGTTTCTTGGATACTGTACTATTAAGAAAGTGAAAAGAAAGTTTTCATCAAGATTTGAATGTCCATACTTTTTCGCTGAACAATCCAGTTTTGGCAGTATTTGTGACCGCCATCACCATGTCTCTGAAGCATGGCATATCAAGCCGTTGTTTGGTCACAGCTTGCCTTTAAACTTGATTTAACAGAATCAGTGTCAGCAAATATTTCCTTACCATTCAATCAAGGAAGAATCAACTTATCTAACTGGTCTGAAGGACAGGAACTAAGTATGGCTTCTGTCCTCAGGAACTAATTCCTCATCTCATCCGTGGAGAGGAAGGCTTTTTCTCCGCTCATCCTACACAACACTGTAATTGAAGCTGGGTGGACTCCAGGCGTCACGCAAGATCGTATGCTCCTTTAGAGATAGCTACAAAGTGAAAGCAAACCTTTCCTTTTAAAGTGCAACTTCCAGTCTTCCAATGGAGCGCTCGTCAGTATTGAAACAAACATTTTGAGTACTATGTGGGAGATTTCTACACTTTTATTCAATTGGATTTGCACTAAGTATAGGAACAGGATGTTATTTATGAGTCCAGAGAATTTTACTAAAATAGGTGTATTTGCAAGCATGACATCTAGATATCATTTGCTTTAAGAATAATTATATGGGGAAACCCTTGTTTAATTAGGAGAGTTTATGTATTTATTACAATAGAAGTGTTTGTTTTTTTTTTTAAATGAAGTCCTGTAAGAACCTTTACTGTGGAGTTTCTCAATGCTGATCTTGACATCGTGCTTCCCTGACACACTCCTATGGCTGCTTTCCTACAACCCCACAACGTGTTTAACAGAACCTCCGATACAGCAACAAAAACCCTGTACTTATAGTTCTGTGACTAAGCATCAGGTTACTCTGCTGTTCTCTCAGGAAGTGTAAATCAACAGCCCTGCTTGGAAAAAAGTCAGTCCCAACCCACAGAGATATGCCAGTCTTCTCAGGTTATGTCACCAGGAGAAGAGAATACTCTGTACAAGAGTTCTAATTTACTCGGCCACTGCAGAAAACCTGAACACAGTGGTCGTTTAAAAGCAAAAGCACAAGCATCCCAAAGCAGTTTGTGAGTCAAGTAAATTCTCACCATGCAGGGTGTGATCTGTCCCTAACACATTCCACTCTGCGGGCAGTTTCAGGTGTCTGAATGCCAGTGCAACCCTCTCATCGAGAGAATTGACATCTCCAGAAGGGGGTCCTGATCGGTCCAGGAAACGAGTAAAGTTGAGAGCCTGCTGATTTCCTGCACTGGTTGCCAGGAACTGAGCTGCATCGTACGCCTCATCCTGGACGAAATGGAAGTCTTCTTCAGCTACTACAAACACAGGCAGGCCCTCTTTGGAGGCACAGAGCAGCACTTTCACTGTCTCGCAGCAGTCATGACCTAAAGAGAGCACAGGGAGCAAAGAGAATTGAATTGACTGATGAAGAACCCCCAGTGGGTCCGTTCAGCTTTTATCACAGCACACAAGATTTCTCCTCCAAAAAGAAAAACCTTCCTTTCCCAATTTCTTTAAATTATAGTTTTAGTTTTCTTATTGATATTTGTAAATATAAGTGATATCTTTAACAAATGGTGAGCAAATGTGAATTTCCGCTTTCAACATTCTGATCACATGGATCAGGCTGTAGCAACTAGTGTTGTTACATCTGAACAAACTTCAGAATGAATGTTTTAGGATCCTATTAGGTCCAGCACAAAGTAGGCAGTCTAAGGCTTACTGAGCTGAGTTAGATCTGAAATAACAACAGGAAGAACGGGGATATGGGAGGAGCAGCACAGACAGCCCCGCACCACAACACAGTAAATCCAAGACTGTAGAATGGTTAAAAGGATAAGTTTTCACACAAGTCAAGGTCCAAAAGTTACATAAGAATTGTTGTTCCCAGATACTTTCTACCTGTCCCAACCACTAAGGCAATAAGCATGTCAATCAAATCACCAGGTTCAAATAAAGATGATGCAATGCTGTGGCAACAAGCCCAACTCAGTAAAAGCAAACACAAAAGAAGAAGAGAACTGTGCTTCCCATTCTACAGATCAGCAGGCACCACACGGCCTTAGGCTAAGCAACAACTACATGCCGCTGCAAGCTCCACCAGAGCCAAACTTCTCAGACATAGCAGCATGAAGCTCTGCTGGGTTAGCTATTCTTATAGAACAAGACTCTCTTCTCCAAACCTTCCTACCCTTTCAGAGTTAAGTATGGAGATCATATGTAACAAAGTATGTAGTGCTTTTTCTCAGTTTTCTAACACTGATCTCAAATAGCTATTATATTCTGTTCCTATCATCACCACTTTGAGGGAGAGAGGGAAAGAAAGAGAAAATAATTTTTTTCATGTACCTAAAAAGAGTAAGTTGTTTTTCCATTTACTTTTCCCAGAATCTTCCTTATATCCATTGCCTTTATGACACAACATAGTTCTCACTGTTGTTTTGAGTCTGTATTAATAAAATGTGTTTAGTAACCAAGTACTTACTATATACTGGGTATTTAGTAGATAATTTTTCTCCATGTAACAATTTTATGATTAAATAAAGTAGTATACCTAAGTTCCAAAGATACTGCAAAGCAGAATCCACTATTTACAGTCAAAGCTGACGTGAAAGGACACTGCCTATTACATTTATTATGACTCAAGAGCTTTGTGCCAAATGCTGTAAACAGAGAAGAGAGAATATCACCAGGTAAGCCATTGCCTGAAGGAGCTGAACATTCAGATTACAGTCAGTATATCTAACAGATGTTACCAATAATAACAGATACAAATTAAATTCCACCTTCAAACTTTAAAACTTGTGCCAATAGAGAGGATACTGTACTAGCCTAAAATAGAAAACCCAACGCTCTTAACCTATGCAAACAGACCTCATTCTTTCTTGCCAACATCTTTCCTAAACTTTAGCACAGATAAAAACCAAAAAACTTGAATCAAAAAGGCAATGGTACTAGAAACAAATGTAATTTACTGGTCTGTATGTATACACATATACACAAACCAAACACCTATGATCAAATTATTATTGTATTGTATTGTATTGTATTGTATTGTATTGCACTGTATTCAAAGCTGTGAAATGTGCACGAATGCACAGAAATCTATCTGTGGCTGACAAAATGACTGCAAAAACAGAGAGAAATAAGGTAACCAAGGAGGGAGGGGACAAGTGGGAAGACGTGGAGGGAAGAGAGGAGGAAGGTAGGATGGAGGAAGAGATGGAGGGAAGGGAGGAGGAACCACTGCATGAAGCTGTGGAATTGAAGCCTGGATACACTTGGAGACCTCAGGAAGTTAGAGGTACCAACGCCATGGGAGGCCTGTCAGTAAGACTTGTATGCAGGAAGTAGAACCGAACCAAGAGAGAGAAGTGTGTGGCAGTCAACAAAAATGGAAGGGTGACACCATCTAAGCCCTTTGACATCAGACACTAAGCTACAGGATCTGAGAGTTTGCTTCACCGGGTTTCCGTCTTACTTGGGTCCAGTTTTTCCTCACTATGCCACCATTCCTCCCTTTTGGAATGGTGATATATATATATATATATATATATATATATATATAACCTGTGCCACTGTATATGACTAAGTAGGTAATCTGATTTTTGAGTTTATAGGGATTTACAGTTAAGAGACTGTTGAGTCTCAGAAGAGACTACTTTGAAATGATGTTCAGACTGTGAAAGACTATGTGGACTTCTTAAGGTGGACTAAATGCATTTTGCATTATGGTATGATCACAAGCCTATAAGGGTCAGTGATTTGAGCGAGAATGGTCCCTATAAGCTCGTATGTCTGAATAAGTGGGCCTCAGTTGTGGAACTGTTTGGGAAGGATTAGGAGGAGTGGCCTTATTGGAAGAGATGTGTCACTGAGGTCACGATTTGAGTTTCAAAAACCCACATCATTCCCAGTTAGCTCTCTCTGCCTCCTCATGGATCAGCATGTGAGCCCTCTGCTACTGCTTTAGCACACGCTACCTGCCTGCTTCCATGCTCCCCTCCATGATACTCAGTCTCTGAAACTGAAAGCACCAAATAGTCTTTCTTTTTCTAAGTTAGCCTTGGTCACGGTGATCTGTCACAGCAATTAAAGAATAACTAAGACATCTCCATGGGCACACAAGTAGTACACATATACAAATGCAGACAAAACAATCATAAACATAAAACAAAACTAAAAAAAAAAAAGAACAAAATACCTGCCTCACCTAGTGTGTGGTCAAAATACGCAAGATTGGCAGAGTTACACTATCAGGCTCAAGATTAGTTTTTAAACCCTATATCTTTTCAAATAAAGCATGAGAAATAGAGGATTCAGCATATTTTAACTGCAGGCAGTCTGACAGAGATCTAGGAATAAAACTGCATCAGTACAGAGAAGTTTCTAAAGCTTACTACTGCAAACGTACTCCAGACAAATGACTGTTGGGAGAGAACTGTTAGTCTTATGTCTGCCTTTGTACCAAGTAAGTGAAGAGACACACAGACCTACCACTAAACTACAAAAGCAGTATGGGAAATTCCATCTAATTTGATACAATGGGGAAGTACAGTAGCAACGTTTTTTAGCTAGTTTCCATGGCGTTTTTGTTTCCATTCAATTTCCTGGTAACAAGAGAGGAACATAGAGGTTTTTAAAGGAAAAGCACTGAAATTTTACTCAGTTTCTAAAAGAAGCTATCCTATAGAATTCAGAAAGGAAAACAAACAAACAAACCAAAATAAAACAAAACAAAAAAATTCCAGAAACTGTTAAGGGGAGAAATTCCTAACTTTAAGAGCACCGTAGCCTTCTACAAAGTCTATTTCATTTACAACAGAAAGAGAAGATAAATTATGAGGTATGAAGAAGACTGTTACCTACCAAGTAAACTATAGTACATACTAGTGATGGACACACTAGACTTGAGTGCCAACTTCTACTGCAGACAGGTGTGGTTATCCTAACACTCAGCCTTGAAGACTGTTTTTCTCATGGTAAAATACCACCAACCTTACAAACTGTTGGAAATATCAGCAGGCTACACACAAAGCACATGGCAAACAGGCAGCAGAAACAAGCGGTTATTCTCAAAATACTGCTGCTGTTTAAGTCACATACTGAAAAGATAGATCCCAAAAACTTGTCAAAGAATTTCACCAGACAGCACAGGCCAGTAAGTCTGTAAGACGAACTGCTGCCTTTGACACTGCAGAACTGAGAAAATAAAGGGATGAAAAACTAAAATAATTCAAGAAGCACCTAGGTAAGAAACAAGTTACCTAAAGTTAATGGTTCTCTCAGACTCATTCAATTCTAGGTCCTGTGGGTCAGAAGTATGTGTGCCTGGGGTTGAGAGAGCTTTCCTGCAGGCGTCTTCCCTGCAAGCTTTGTATCAATGTCTAAAACATCTGTACCCATGGAAACAAAAAAACTGCTACAGATAAACAAAAGTGCTAAAGTATGACCCAAAAAATTACTTCATTTCCTGTTAAGCTAAAAATGGAACACATCCCATCCGGGCCATCTCTTCTGAGACTAAAACAATCGGGCCTTTGTTTTTATCAGTGATCTAAAAAGGACCCTAAAAGCACTGGCTGAACCAGCCCAGGCCAATCCCACACAGAAAGGGTGGACTATAATAGTCAGCAGTGGGAAATAAACAAGCTTTACTACTTAGTTCATCACAGAAGTGCTTAAAAACCTGGTGTGATCTTCTGTCTCAGGAGTGGCTATGGAACAGCAAGTGAAATGCTCAGTCTGCAGACTGCCCCTCCCCGCAGGAGAGGATTACATGGAGAAACATGCACTCTCATGCTACCAGATCTCGGCCAAATAATGGCAGGCGCACAGATTTGGCGAATTAACAAAATGTCTCTATATGTACAGGAATAATTAAACAACACAACAGCAAAGCCCAGAACCCCACCATGTGCACTGTGAAAAAGGGCAGGCTACCGAATTCTAAGATCATGACTTCCTGTATTCCAGACAAAACCTATAAACTGGTGCTTCTCAATCCTTCTTCCTATTGTCATTACTTCCAGAAGCCTTTAGTGTTTCCTATTCAACCTGCACGACAAAAAAAATCTGAATTTCATTACTATGCCATGTGTGTATGTACTTTGTATGTAAAGAATAAGAATTTCTGACGCACACACACACACCCCAAATCCAATTTCTACTCTCAAATTATACCATTTCTGTTGTGATACATTCCTTGTGATTACAGTGCTGTGTTCACAGGTCCACGGGGATAAAATATATAGTTTTTACCACACTGTCAGGAGGACAGTGAACAACAGATGTGGGTATTTTTTCCTTTCTTCAACTACTTCTTGGTTTGTTTTTCCAGTATAACAATTATATGCACCGTATTAACTGATTTTTAAAAAACAAATGGATGAACTCAAAGCTTTCGAGAAACAGTCTTACAGTTGGATTACACAGACCATCATACAGTGTTCAGTTAAAAATAACTGATAACTGTTAGTAAGGAGGTTCTAAGAACTGTTTGATTATGCTAATTAAATGCTCATAACTTTTAAAAAATACTTCTTAATTTGATAATAAACCACTGCTGCTAAAGAATATGTTGGTTCACAAGGAATAAATAAAAAAAATATTGTGTTACACGCACAAGACTACTTTGAAAGATCTAAGCTTCCAGTACTCATTCACTAAAGGGAATTGTAAACACAATGAAACTACCTTACATGGTCAACTATCCCTGATAAGTATGAAACAAAAGAAAAATACTTAAGTGCTGAGTCTAGTTTGACATTACTGAAGGTTTGTAATTTTACTGCCAAACAAAAGCCTTGCCATGGATTCTAAAAGTAAATCAATAGCGTACACCAAAGCCTTTCTCAGCACAGTGTACAGAAATCTCCATTCCTTTTATTTACTTATTTTTTGAGACAGGGTTTCTCTGTAGCTTGGGAGTCAGACTGTCCTGGAACTCGCTCTTGTAGACCAGGCTGGCCTTGAATCCTTGAACCCTGCCTCTGCCTCCCAAGTGCTGGGATTAAAGGTGTGCACTACCACCGTCTGGCTTCCATTCCACTTTTAGATGATAAAAGCATTATTTGCTTTGTCTAAACTTACTACAATAAGTAACTCCCCCAAAATAGTATTGTATAATTCTAAAAATACGTTTGAGATAGCTAGTTCAGTAAAATTGAAATTATATTTTTCAAACAGTCATCTTAAAAACTACTTTAAATTTTTGTTTTGTTTATTATTATTGGAGGAAAAAGAGCAAGTACAACGGGAATCAGATGAAGGTCAAATGACAATGTTTGGAACCCAAGTCTCCTTCCATTCTGGATTCCACTGATCAAAATCAGATTTTCAGACTTGCATAACAAGACAGACATTAGAAACATAGAATGGTTATTACTGTATTACATGATGTAGAATGTTTTTTCTCTAAGATAATTTAGAAATGTCTCATTTTCCTAACCTATTTTCAGAAAATATTTGATAAAAGGTTACAGACTAACATCAAAATATAGCTGCATTATGAAGGTCAATCAATCATCTGGTTTTACTAACAACTAAAATGTAACTAAACACAGACAATGAATCATACAGAGAAAAACCAAAGCCAGTTATATGAATAAATCATGACATTAAGAGGAAGAACAAGGCACAAAGCTTTTTCTTCTTAGAGCTCAGATGACTGGAAATGGCAGAGCTAGTATTTGAATAAGTAGAAAGGGCACAGAGAAATTCCTATTGGGAACACCTGCTGCCAACAAAAGACAGTGAATATTTATGCAGTAACAGCAACGTGCAAAGCGCTGTACAGATTTTCCATCAAGAATCTTGATTAACCTGACACTGGCCCTCAGCAGACAGGAAATCGGAGGCTATCATTACCACTGACTGACGCACGGAAACCATCAAAGTCACCACTGGAAAGAGAACAGAGACTACAGTGACAGGCTAAGAGCTGCACTCAGGAAACCAGAAACTCCTTTTGCATTTCCACAAAGAAGAGGGAAAGGGGAAGAGAGGACAACATGTGCACCTTTCTAGAATGCAGTCCCTTCTGAGAACCAGAGCAACAATGCCCATTAGGCAGTTGGGCTTACTAGAAAAGCTGATTCAGCTTACACCAGTGAAAACAGAATCCCTGCCTCATGAAGCTGAAATGAAAAGGAAATGGGCAAAATGCACGAGTGTACAAGAAGCTGAGCGAACAGATTAACGTCCAAAGGCACTGGAGTGTTTCTTTTCTAGAAAAAGCATACTGAAGAAGGGAAAACACAGGTCTAAGATGACCACAAGAGCAGACTCAAGTCAGTGTGATCCTCGGTTAAAAAGCCCATCCCAAGATACAAACAAGACATCTGAAGTTGTTTGGGTCCTGCGCCCACCCCATGGTCTTGAATATCTACCTCTACCCTTCCAATACAGTATGTTGAACTAATCCAAATGACAGTCGCTCAAGGAGACAAATAAACAAAATGTCTCAAACATGATGACCAAAACAGAAGGAGTCACAGTTTCTCATACCCTGAGTATTCTCTAGCATACAATAAAGCCTCACAAGCTGGTGACGCCACCATCTTCACTAGCCTCCCCTGGGTCCACGAGGAGCTTTCAGAATTCTGCTGTAATTAGGCACTTCCTATTAGAAATCTTAATAAATTTACGGGGTGGAGGAAGAATGGGGTTATTGAGGAGGAGAAGAGTGAATCAGTAAGCATCATAGAGAATAGAATATTTAGGTAAGGAAAAAAGCTGATAAATAGAAATGGGAATTCTGTATTCTGTTACAAATGAATGGATGGATCAAGAATGGCAAAACTAGTAGCACAGTGCAATGCTGATTCTGGTTAGATTAGATTAGATCACTAGGGCAACAGTATTCAGAATCAATAAACACAAATGGACACCCACAGAGGGTGGAGCTGGGGCGTTCCTGGAAAACACACACACAGACACACACACACACACACACACAAACACAGAGAGTGAGAGAGAGAGAGAGATACAGAGAGACAGAGAGAGGAGGGGAGAAAGAGAGGAAGGGAAGGGAGAGGAGGAAGAGAAGAAGAGAGGAGAGAATTTTAATCATAAATTGTATTTAGGAAGAAATTAAGCTTATAGCTTATAACCCATCTCACTTCTTAGTAAGTCTGCCCAGAGACTGATTCCCGGTTAGAGAACCCTTCTCCCTTCACCTACACACAATGAGCTAAGCAGCTGAAATGCTGCATAGCACCTGCTAAAGAGCAAACCTTAAGTTTTAGATCAGCCTTTCTGACATGATACACATCACGGAAAACAAGATGGCTGGAGGGCTGAGTAACAAATGAGGATGCCTAATATTCTTTAGAAAAGAACTCACTATCTCTCCTAGCCACCTCTTTATATTCGGGAAATACATTCCTAAGAACTACCTGAAATCTCATAAATCTCAAAGGTAGGTGAAAGAAAAACAACTTGCAGCTGCAACAATTACAACCGCTATAATTACAACCTGCAACTGCCACAATTACAACTGCTACAGTTACAACTGCTACAGTTACAACCTGCAACTGCCACAATTACAACCGCTACAGTTACAACCTGCAACTGCTACAATTACAACTGTGACAGCTACAACCTGCAACTGCTACAGTTACAACCTCAAACTGCTACAATTACAACTGCTACAGTTACAACCTCAAACTGCTACAATTACAACAGCTACAGTTACAACCTGCAACTGTGGTTCTCACAATTTCAGAAATAATGGACATTATGTCACTTTATAGAAAATGGCACAGAAAAAGAAACTGGCAGACTTATCTGGCACAGTGAGATTCAATATACTCAAAGTGATCAATAAAGTAACAACTTTAACACCCTGGCTACCAACAGGGGACCCACTAGAGCATGCTGGCACATGAGTCACATCCACCTTATTCTCTAACAATAAATAATGAAGCGATCAACATTATTTGGAGTATTCTTCAAAGTGTGCTCTTCTGAATTCTGGTGAAAACTGGCCCAACTGTTAACTGTAAAGAAAGACTAAGGAAAAAAACCCAGCCCCAAACACAAATCAATGTATCTTCAGATGTTGGACAGGTAAAGAGATAACTGCTACATTATCATCCAACAGCACTGCCCTGATGACCTGTAACTGATTTTTAATTTTTTGTTTAAATTTGCAAATACAGTGGTAAGTAACCTGCACTGCATGGTTTCTAAATCTCTGTAATTGACTTCATGAGAAAGATGCTGTAGTTTATGCAGTCCAGACATGAGGGATGCATTATTAATTAGGTTTTACCTAGTTTTGTTTGGTCACCATGAAATTCAGAATAAAATCTGAAGTATCATCATGAGAATGCATACCTTCCATATATCAATTTTCTCCAACTCTCAACATCCAATAAATTGGTTTTTGCTTTTGTTGATCCTGTTACTACTTAATTTATATAATTACTTTATTTCCTTTACTTCTAGTTAGGTTCAGGCATGTATAGAACACACAAAAGCATTATCAATATACTTAAAGATCAACAGCTGTTAGTACTCTGGTTTGCTCCTTCTAGTATTTATTGGGGGAGGGGGTTTCACTACTATTAAAGAAGCCCAGTATACTGGTATAGGCCTGTAATTCCAGCACTCAGGAGACTGAGGCAGGACACAGAGTTTCTCGGCCAGTCTTGGCTATTCACAGCTAGCCCTTGCCTCAAAATAAAAGCAAACTAACAAATACCTAATAGAAGCTAGAAAAAAATTTCACTCAGATACTTACCAGGAGCAATTGTTTCCAATGTATCAGAACTGACCTTCCGCGTACTTGTGCAGTGATAGAGGGTAGAACCGGAAAATATCAAGTAAAAAATAGCATCATCTTCAACTTTGTCCTCTTCAGCAAGCAGTACTGTAACAACACAATCGCCCTAGGAATGGAAAAGAATTTACAAGGCTGCATTAGTACGGTTCCTGGGAACCTGCTAAATTTTACACCTCATAAATTACTACCAAGTCTATATGTCCCCCAACAAAGGCGATGAAGTCTAGATATGCCTAAAAACGGCAGTGTTCATTCAAATTCCACCTACAAAGATTTGCTTAGGTCCATTAAACTTAAATTTCCTTGACTGTATAAATGAAAGCAAACCTTTTGTCTTTAGAGCTGATATATGAAAACTCATGGAACAAAGTAAACGCTCCATCAATTAAGATAAAATCACTCTTTGAACAACCTGTGCCTCCTAACCACCTGAGATCCCTGTTTTCCTTCAATCATCCTTCCACTGGGTCGTTACTATAGGTGGCTATCATGCCAGAAACTCTGTATACACATTTGTCATTATTTATAATGAAAAACATCTTTGTCTACCAGTTTCAAATACTCTTCTATCAGTTTTTATAAGTTGATTTTTTAAATAAAATGAGGCCCATAGTTAAATATACCCTGTGAAATATAGCCCTAATTACCATTCTTCTCAATTATAAACATAATTTGTGCTATAACCATAAACTAGCAAAAAAACTAACACATGAAAGTTTGGGGTACTAGGATTTAATATTCTGCAAATCTTAGTAATCAATTATGTAAACAATAATTTAGTGAAAACCTGGCCATTTTAGCACTAAAATTGGGGGGAAGTTATCATTTAATATATATATTTTTTCTCTTTTATTTTATCAACATTGAGATATGTAAGGCAACCACGCCACCCTGTGGCCACATTATTAAGCCCAAAGTAAGTGAAAGAGAAGCCAGCACTTTGTTATCACTGAAAAGCCAAAATCATGAAGTCAAACCTAAGATTAAGTGTAATAAATGTTAACAGCACATTGATTTTGGAGACTTAGTTCAAAGTATTTCCTGGAGCGCATGTCACTTTTATTTTATTCTGAGTGCTCAAGTCCCCTAAATGCAATTTAAGTCAGAATGAACCATAACTCTAAATAAGGCATAGCTTATCTGGAGCACTGTAACTATAACCGGAGCACTCCAGAGCACCCTAACACAAGGGATATCGAGGCCAGGAAAAGACTTAACTTTGGTCACTACTCCAAACTGTATTTCGGTCTTCTGCATGTGTCTTTCTCTGGGAAATGTTCACTATTCTTTAGTATGATGCAACCAGTTTACGTGTCTGAGGCACAATGAGAACAGGCCATTTTCTCTAAGTAACGGAGTCCCCTCATATCCTACAAACAGAACATAAAAGTCCCATCCTTTTCTTCACGTGTTGGAAACTAAGACCCATGGGCTATACCCGCCTCTTGCTTGTTTTGTTAATTTCCATGTCACAAGCAAAGCTTCACTGGAGCCAGCTGTGCCCATTCAGTCACACACTTGCACACTACGGTCACGTTCACTTACCACCTACATTTTTACAAGAGAGGATGTCTACTTAGATTTCTAAACTGAAACTCTAATAATGAATCCTCCTTTTCTGAACCAAGGAATCCTCTCCATGTGAGCACCCACAGTCTCTTGCCGAGGTACTGTTTGTGCCCATACTGGTTAGGTTTGGGGCTTCCTTTCAATGAGGTCACGAGAAGGTTGACATAAGCAACTAACATCCTTTTAACAAAGTTTTCAATACCAATCTCTTTTTTCACTCCCAAGACAAAAACAACTAAGTTCTGAATTGCTTTCATACTTTTTTTTAAAGCTAGGTCACATAAGCTTATACCCAAGAGAAGGGAACAAAGCTTTATTCAAATACTTCAAGGCAACTCACACGCTAAATTCCAAAGGTCCTAGGCACTGAAGTAGCTGGCTCCCTCTGATAGTCACAGAGCAAACGAATTCCACATTTCACTGAAGCGAGTGACCCTATTTATAGTCGCTCACTAAGCAGCTACTATTAAATGGAGATGACTTTGAAAGATTAAGCAAGTGGGGTTGAAGAAGAGTTGCAGATCTCAGTAAGAATTTGTATCCAGGCGATTGGTTTTATCTCTACTTTTCATGAAAGAAGCCCTGATAAATTAATCTGCTGTTCAAAACTAGGTCCAACCCATAGAATACACAGAATAAAAACAGTATGGCTGCACAGTTACATCTGTCACTGCTAACTACACAGATGAGCTTCATAACAACAGTAATGTTTAGACAGCCTCAACTATTATTTCAGTCTTACCCACTGAGGGGAGAGGATTCCATCTGTTATCAGTCTCCAGTAACACAAGCCCAAGAAACACAGTGCCGTCCTTAGAAAGAAAAAAATTTCCCTTTCTTCATTAATGAGAAGTATATCCTTGAGCTTGATTATTTTTAGGGTCATAACTGATTTTGCTGATAGAGACATAATAACTAACGAAAAAGGCAGTCTACATTAGGCATTCTTATACAGATGATCCCCCAAATATAAATACACAGTGATCAAAAATGTTAATTAGAGTAACTGCTTAATTATCCATAAAAGCAGGTTTTTTAATAAAAAGATTATAAAAGTAAAGGAAGATTCTGAATGGTGGTGAGTCTCAGTTGTCCACATCCTGAAGTTAATCATACAGAACATCGATTACATTAGTAACACTGCAAAAATTACCTTAATGATTGAGAAAAAAATGTTTTTAACTTTGACTTCTCATCAGGATGCTAAGAATATGTTTTCTTTTCTTCAGACCAAAGACTTTCTCTCTACAAGACCTCACCAGACCTCATTTCACAAGATACTGGTCATCCAGGACCCTCCCTCAATGAGCAGGAATGAGGGGGAAGTGGGTAATAGAATGGAAAAGAGCTAGGCATTTCAGGAATAAGAAATAATTAATTATGCTATAGAAGTAGATAGAAGAAAAAGGACGTGGGAAACAGGGAACATGGAAAATAAGAGATACAGGGGGAAATGTAGTAGGAAACTGGGGTAAGGAAATGGTACAAGAGAAGGAATCCCTGATGTCTTGGATAATGCTGGCCACGTAAGATTAGAAGGTGGGTCTGTTCAGCAGCAAGATAACTACAGCAGTATCCTAGCTATCTTGTATGGACTCATGAGATCCAGCTGTTAGATTTCTGGGAATTCTATGATTGGAATGCTAAGCATAGCTTTTATTAAAAGTTAAACTTACAAATAAGTAAAATAGATTAAAAGCAAATATACATTAAAAGTCTATATTAATAAGTCTATATCTTACTATATTGTTTTGAGGTTTATAGTATGGTGTGCATATGGAAGAAAATCTATATAACAGTGTATGTGCTCCCCAGGATACACGCTTGACAACTCTGCCCCTAGTAAAGTGGACGGACAGCTTGAGAGCAATCACTAAGGGAGAAATTATGTTACTAAAATTGGCAAATGCTACATCTCAGGGCTAATGATAAAACATTCTGATAAAAGCACTGTAAAGGAGGGTGGATTTATTTAGGTCACAGTTCCAGATTACAGTCCATAACGGGAAAGAAGTCACAGAGGCAGGTGCTTGAAGCAGTAGGTTATACCCCATCAAATAGAAAGTTCAGTCCACTTTCTCCTCTTATGTCAGGGAGTGGGGTCACCCACAACGGGCTGGTATTGCCACTCTAATTAATAGACTCAAAATAATCCCCATATGTAAGACTAGAGATTCACCTCCCAAGTGATGCTAGTTTCTATCAAGTTGACAACCAACATTAACTATCACAAGAGCCTTTGTTTCCAAATGGTTAACTAAGGACCAGGGGTAAAGAATTTTCACATCAGGCCCAGTTAAGATGGAGTACTTTTCTTGTTTTAACTTGGCAGTGTCTTACTTAAATATCCTGAGCTATAAAGGAGGAAAGCAATTCTGCTTGTCTCATAAGATTATTACAAGAATTAAATGACTTGTTTTATTTATTTTTTTTAAAAAAGGGACCTATAGCAATGCATTGGCCACAATCGTTTTCAACAGCACTGCTGTTGTACATGGAGCTACCTAGTTAAGAAATGTAAAAGGCTTCAGAAACAAAAAACTTTTGGCCCAGCAGTCTGTCACTGTGGTGATGTGAATGAGATGTCCCCCACAGTCTCAGACACTGGATACTTGGTTCCAGTTGGTGGCACTGTTTGAAGAGGCTTAGGAAGTGATGGCTTTCTTTTATTTTCATTTTTGTGGGGGTTTTCATTTCTCAGATTTTTGTTGTTTTCTTGGGTGGGGCTGGTTGAAAGAGAGACCGTAAGTGAAGTGGGTAAGGAGGCAGAGGGGGAGAATCGAAGAAGGGTTGGGGGAATGGGAAAATACAATACTGTTTCTATTCCGTGTATTCTATGAGTTGGGCCTAGTTTTGAACAGCAGAGTAATTTATCAGGGCTTCTTTCATGGAAAGTAGAGATAAAACCAATCGCCTAGATACAAATACATGGCATGAGAAAAAAATTTTTTTTCGAGACAGGGTTTCTCTGTGTAGCCTTGGTTGTCCTGAAACTCACTGTGCAGACCAGGCTGGCCTCTAACTCAGAGATCTGCCAGCCTCTGTCTCCTGAATGCTGGGATTAAAGGTGTGTGCCACCACCCATCAAGGAAACAATTTGTGATTAAAAAGAAAAATAGAACACAAATTTAGGTGGGTAGATGGGGTGAATCTGAGAGGAGTTGGGGAGGAGCATGAGTATGATCAAAATGTCGTATAAAATCCTCAAAGAATTAATAAAGATATTACTTAAAAAAGACTTCTAAGTTATATACAAGGCATGGTTCTGGACTGAATACTAAATGATCTTTTAAAATTGCCACCACATTATCAGGACAACAGGCACATCTTGAATGAGATTTTTACATATTTAATACTGTACCAGTGTTTAATTTTCTGATATTTTCTAATTATGCTGTGATTATAAACCAATATTCTTGCTCCTGTTCTTAGCAAATACACAATGAAATATTTAAGATAAAAGAGCATAATGACTACAACCTGTCTTTAAATGTTTCAGAAAAATGGCAACAGACAGGTGAAGAGCACGGACTGCTC